CTTGGCCTTTCAGACCAAGTCTCCAACTTCATCACTTTGTACCTGTTAGTACTACACAAGGGAGAGTAATTTTTAGGGATTTTTTCCTTCTTTGTTAATTCTGGATAAACAAAACAAAAGCTGGGATAAAAGTTTGATAATGTATTAAGAAGGATTGCAAAAGATAGCTGAAAATCCACCTAATGAAATAAAACAAACTTTGAATTGCACACCAGGATAAACTATATGCAGAGGTAAGGTTTTCTACCTTCCAAATCACTAAACATTACCTAGAATATTTTAGGTTCTGAGTAAAGACTTGGAGTATAAGTTAATGGATAAGTTCACTTTCCCATATCAGCAAACCTATTTATGGAAACTAGATCTAGGACATTCTCCCCTTTCCACCTTTGAATCTTCACATCACACCAACACTAAGGGGAAAACATCCCCATGCTGTCCCCACTTGATAAAGAGGTCAACATTATCTTTAAAAGGTATTTTACCAACTCTGGAGGCCCCACACTCTATGGCACTGTTAACTATCAATACACACACACGTGAACAATTTAGCTGCTGACTTCTGGGAAAGAGTACAAGCAAGGAGTCAGAGTAAGAGACTATGAAAGGGGGTGAGGAAGACATGTTGATCCTTGTCCCACCTAAAATGAATGGAACTCTTTAGAAGGACACAGTGAGAAGCAACTCACTGTTCAGTCTGAGATAAATGCACTGAAATATGAACATCACAGCCATGTGATGCAAACAACCAAAGCGTCTAGGCAGGTGGAGCAAGAAAGGTAACCCACTGCCTGCTGCTCCAATGCCAGTGATACATCTTTTGTGCTTCTTCCTTCTCTCCACACCGGTCTCTCGCCCTCCTTTCCCTATGACTTCCATGTGTGTACATTCATATCGTCATATTCTTCAGTTTGACTCTTCTCCAAGCTATGTCCTTAAGTCTTCTGCTTCTACTAATTGATACTCTGTTAACTGTCTTTTTCAAATATGCTGGACGATGAAATAATATCAAAGCTGGAATATTCAATTCAGAAAAGCCTTCCTGCTTTGCTGTTCCATAATGTTGAGAGGTAGGTGTTGAGATACTATGTTAAAAGTCAGGGCACGAGAACTTCTTTCTTTCTTACAAACCCAATCTGGTCTCCTAATTCTGTCTTTTTAACTATAATCATTATTTTCTAGTTCTTAGATCATAAGATAACTCAGTATATTCTTGAAGCTTCCTTCTCTCTAACCTTCAGGTCAAATAAGAGTAGAACTTTCATACTTCCCTTAGGTAGGTATATTTGAACTGCTCAAATATTGCAATGAAACATTTTTCACCATTTTCCTAGAAATTCAGCATGTTTGAAAGAAATTTTATAGTACAGTTTTGAGAAATAGTAAACAAAAAATCTATGTAGCATCACTATGACAATGAACATTAAAGACTCTAGTGGGCACTGCTGATTCTGTATTCTGTATGTTTTCAGACTCCTTGTTCATTGTGGCTTACTTCTTTGCTCTTGTTTATATGTCAGTCAACCATGTTTTGATCTATTTTTCATGCCTATGCAATGTCAAGAGCAGGAACCACACCCAAAGTCATCTATGGTTTGCTTACTCCCCTCACTGTGATCTTGGTGAGATCCAATCTGTTGGTGAGCATTGTGATGGTTTCTCCCTTCTCAGGAATGCCATTTCCTCTTGCATGGATGAACCCTGTGTATTTGTCTATTCTATTTTTGAACTTCTGGATGGTTCCCAGATATCATTCCTATCATCATTGTTGCTATAAGTATGGGTTTTCTGACACATGTACACAATAAATAAAATATCAAAGAGGGCAGAATTAGTATATCATAAGATATGTGGTTTTTAACTAGCTAACGTATTATGTTCCAAAACATGTATTATGGTTCCTTTCTCACCTTTAGTTGGGCACCAGAAAGTGATTTTTCTGTGTGGTCAAGTATTCAAATGTATTACAGGAGACATTTTATTGCTTCATACAAAGTGGGTATCTAGTAAAAGTTGGGCAGAATATTGTAGTGGGTTACCATCTAGCAGGCAGAGGATATTTAAATAAAAATATATTTTTTTCAGTGATTACTAAGGCCAGAGAAACAAAGTGAGCAATCTGATCCTCAAGACTCCTCCATAGACTCTGCTACCAAGAGTGCTAACATCACCACCTAAGTCACCTCAATATATTTTAGCATGAATTGTTAAAATAGCACAGCCAATTTTATCTATTTAATTTTGTCAGTAATTAAGAAATGCCTATTTTAAAGCTAACCAACATTTTCAAATTCCTTTCCCACAGCATCACTTATCCAGAATAAGGCCTCTCACTAGTTCAATGCTAGACTAAAAAAAACTATGGAAAGAAAGAAGAGATAAAGCACAAAGAAGCTTTCTTAGATACATATACAATGGTCACATCTCATCCTTGTAAGGCCTAGAGGCTCATGTCTCTCCAGATATTACTTAACATTCAACTATGGAGCTGCAGCACGAGACACATTGGAGGTCTTGGAAAGGCCAGAGGACTTTATAATGCATGGCAACCTAAAATGGGGATATCCTGAAGGCAATGTCTATGTCCACGTGTACCATAGGGAAGAATTAGGAAATCTGTCTAAGGCACTGAAAGAAGATCCCTCAGTCGTAAAGATTTATTAGTGAAGAATAGAAGTCAGTATTAATGATGAGCGTGTGGTGTCACTGCTTCCCGTGAAATTCTGGCAATGTCGTGCCCATTAGGATCTCTGATCTTTAAGTCTGTTTTTCCTTTAATGTTAAATAGATCAAATCCTTCTTTATATTAGGATTCCGATGATATTGTGCACATTTGGATTTCTGCATTTTTAAGTTTGTTCTTTTTTAGTATTAAACAGATCAAATCTATTTTTATATTATATAAAATACAGTACTGATAGATCTTGGTAAATTGTGAATAAAGTATAAAAGGAACTTTTTATGAGACTGACATACTACCTACTGTGCTAATGAGGCTCTTTAAAAGATTTTTAAGCACATTTTTAAAGGCAAATTTTAAAATATAACAAATAGGTTTAATTTTGCCATTATGATTTTAAAAAGTCTACCCTTCCAAATCTCAAAATAAGGTAGACCATATGCCCTATCCCATTACAGTATGTTTTTCAAAGTAAATGTCATTATTTTTTAAAACAGCAAAACATGTTTCAGGATTCTACCATGAGGGACACATAAGGAAATAAAGAACACAGCAGCTCTTACTCTGACAACCAATGAATCTTTTACCATTCTGTTTTCAAATGCCCCCGAGGCTCTCCTTTTGCTGACATAGAAAAGTAAAGGAGACAGCAAATTTGAGTGATACAATGGGGAAAAACTCCCCAAACTCTTCCAAAACTGAAGCTAAAAACCAACAATGGCTTGACAGTTTAGCTCCATACTCTGTGCTAAACATTCAGAGATGCCGTCTCTAAATACAGCGTATATCTTCTCTCCTATGACACATATCAAAATATCTGATGTGTGAGAGAAACTACAAACTCTGATACCACAAGCCAAGAAGGGGCACTCCTTTCCTTCCAGCCTGACAGCTGAAGCCACATGTGAAATATACCACCCTCTTTCAAGGCCCATCACTTCTATCCTTTTTTGGACATATGGGTCAAAGTAGATTTTATACTTAAAAGTAGCAGAAAGCATTTAAACAGGTGTCTGTGCGTGGTGGCAAACAGGTTCCTTAGTGGTAAAATAAATCTTTTAATAAATAAGTGTTCAAAGATATTTTGTTAATTAACACTTCATAGCAAAATTAGTCAAGATTAGCTATACCCAAGTGTCCTTTCTTCCTGGTCATTTGTTATTCCTCTTGCACCATGACTTGTTCTTTCAGAATATTCATTACTGGAGAAAAAAAGGCTCAGCATCAGATGACACAAAACATTTCCCTTTTTGTGTACATGGGACATGGCCTGAAGTACAAGAAACTATGATTTCAAACTTTTCCCTTTTTACTGATCTCTGAAAAGTCAGTGAATAATTTTGTGCCAAAACATAGAAAATATCACCAGACAGTTGTAGTGCACACCTTTAATCCCAACTCTCAGGAGGTAGAAGCAGGCAAATCTCTGTGAGGTTGAGGCCAACCTGGTCTCCATGAGCTAATTCCAGGACAGGCCCCAAAACTACAGAGAAACCCTGTCTCAAAAAACAACAAAAATAAATAGAAAATATAAGTAATAGTGATAGTAACAATACCCTTTTCTCCGATGACCATGGACCAAGTTATTTAAATATATTATCCCCAAACATTCAACAAGGAAATTATTATTATCTTGACAAGTTAGTTGGTTACTTCAAATTGAGCAAGAATGAATCACTAACACAAGATTTTACAGAAAATGGTGGCTATAAAACCCAGATGATTTTGATATATAATACCTAGTCCCTGTGGACATATGAGAAGAATCAAAGCATAGTCACCAGCATACTTAATATAAATCATTATTTTCTTAATATAAATCATAATAAACATCAATCAGTTTCTAAAGAAAGTAGATAGGTTGAAGATGGACTCTGTCTTAAACTTTGCTCAGAATTTGCTAATAAATTCAGATTGAGACATGCAAGGAAGATTCTAGATATCCGGGGGCTCAGAATAGTGCCAAATGCTCAGCAAAAAGGAAATGGAATCACACATTTCTGAGACAAGATTTTGAAAGAAGGGATAGACTGTGAATCTACAAGTTGGCACCATCACTTGAATCTAACCTTATGTCATCATAAAAACTATGTAAATCTGCTCACCTTCCTACATCTCTGAAACCAGTGAGACACCTCACTCGGAAATGACAGCAATTGAGAAAAATGGGATTGGTTTACAACATTACTCTCTGAGGAAAAATATCATCGAAGAACGCAGAAATGAAACAGGAAGAACAGAATAGTGTTTTAAGGTTTTAGTTGGATTTTTTAGAATTAAACATTCTAAGTAGAGAAAAGGAAAGTAAGTTTTTCCTTACCTGACTGGACCACCTTTATCTTCTTTTCCCAAGGTCCACCTGGGAAAGAATGAAACAAGCAAGAGTAGATGCCAACATCTGCTTCAGAGGCATTGTAAAAGGACAGACTCATATTGCGGAACTCCAGTGTTGTGTTCAGAAAGTGCACTCTATGGAAGTAGTTGTGATCTATATGCATATGAAGGTTTGGGTTGTAAACAGCTATGGTCACAGTCTCTGAGCCACTGATCTTGGTCCATTCCACCTGGGTTAAGTTGTCCGTCAATGGGTACACACATTCCAGAGTCATGGTCTCAGAGAGCTGAACAGCTGTGTCCCAAAAGGTCACTTCACACAGTGCTAAAATAATACATCACAAAAACTGAGTTAGATCCAACAATGACAAAACCAAACAGATAAATTTTATAAGACTTACAAATAGTCTGATAAGTTCATAGTGAGGCCTGACAATTTTACCTACAAATTTGGCTTTTGTAAATTTTAGTATTTCTGAACAAATCAGAAATTACCTAAGGGAAACTGCACATGTCACACCCAAACACCAAAAGCACAGAAAAATTTTCAATGAAGACATAAGATTGTCTTTACCTTTGTGCACATGAAGAATAGCCAAAAGCAAAGTTATGCAAGCCATCTCTGGAAACAGTTCAGAAGTCTAGCCTGTGTAAAATAAATAAATAAATAAATAAAGCGTATGATGTTATATTCACAACTCAACATAAAGTGCCATTTCCTTCCTCTCAGATGTTATCAACTGCACCTTTTTCTCTGAAGTCTGAGCACAGGAAAAGTTTTAACTTCAAAAGAAGCTTTGCTATCATACGGAGATGGGTAAGGTGCAGTAACTTCTCTGGCAGATAATCAGTTTACTTTCAAGAATTATTTTTCAAGAAAGATTCTTTGAGTTGACAGCTGTTTACTGAGTGTGTCCTCTATGTCAGACTCAGCTCTGTGCGACAAGAGTACACAAAACCATTGCTACTTCCTTAGGAAGAGACGGACGCGACACGAAAGGCACACTAGATAGAGTAAGTTGTAGGTGGTGCCTGAAGAAAAGGGAGGCAAAGCAAGAAAGCTGAGCTCTTTTGATGTAGGCTGGTCTAGGAACTCCTCACTGAGAAAGTGAATGGCAGTGAGTCCTAGATGTGGATGGGAAGATCCTGCACAGCAGACAGACACTCGGGTGCTGCCTTCCTCGACTGTATCTCCCGGCTAGACTTGAGCATATGCAAACAAAAGAATGGACTTCCAGCAACAAAAGAATGGTGGCCCAGGACATACAAATATGCCTTTGTATCTGATGATTTTTTTTCACTTTTTTATTTTAAAATGATTATGTACTGCTAAGAAATTAGATGTTCCAACCAAGTCACCTAGGAGGCTATACCTTATGTAACTATGATCTACCATCAATATGAAATTGATCTCTAAGAGTCATCATTTCTCTCTTCCTTCTCTAAAAAAAACCATTCAGGGTTGTGGCAAGATGATTTAGCCAGTTTAGAGCCTTGCTACACAGGCCTGAGGACTTGAATTAGGTCCTCAGAATCCACATAAACGTAGGAGGATAGAACTGACTCCATAAAGTTATACACTATGAGAGCCATGGACTCCGGACTGACAGCTGACCCATTCTGTTGCTAGCTAACAGACTCTGAACTGACTGCTTGAGAACCTGCATAGAACCAAACTAGGCCCTCTGAATGTGGGTGACAGTTATTTGGCTTCATCTGTTTGTGGGGCTCCTGGCAGTGGAACCAGAATTTATTCCAGGTGCATGGAATAAATGGTTTTTGGAGCCCATTCCCTATGGTAGAATACCTTGCTCAGCCTTGATGCAGCAGGGAGGACCCTTGTCCTACCTCAGTTTGGTATGCTAGACTCTGTTGACTCCCCAAGCTCACCCCTTCTCATAAGTGGATGGGGGGTGGGATGAAGGGAAATGGAGGGTGAGAGAAAGGAAGGGAAGGGGAACTGGAGTTGGTATGTAAAATGAAAAATTTTTAATTAAAAATGATTGTGATGCACTTGGCCCCAATAGCAAGGCCAGGATGTATTGCATACATTAAAAATGAGGTCCATTCTCATTCTCATGTTTTCTGAAAACATTCCCCCACTACATACTCGTGTGGAGTAGTTGATACTCACTGATAATGATTTATATTGAATCACATTTGAAGTACAAAGTCAAAATTGTCTTTCACTTTATATTTTAACAATAAATATAATTTTATTTGTATTTTGACAGTCAAGAGAGGAAATGGTTCATTTTAATAAATTTTTTAAATATTTCATATAAAATTTAAGGAAATAAAGATATGTCTACAGATACGTCACATAGGTTACGTTCAGGAAATGGCACAAATACAGAGCATGGATGGGGTGATAAAATGCCTGAGAGGAATATGTAATATATACCTGTAATAGAGAATATAACAGAGAAGCATGTAATGGTCTAAGGTATTCCTAGGGTAGAAAGATATTGAAAAAACATAAAAATAAATACTTATTTGCAAAATGCCTTTCATGTTATGCTGAAAAAAGCTCATGGGGTTTTCAGAAGGCTGAGTATCCGCTGAACTCACAGCCCAGGGGAAGGAAGCCTCCTTTAGGGAGGGTGATTGGGAAAGACCTGCTCACCTGTGTAATGAAACCTGTAGAAGTAGGAGCACTGGTCATGTGAGCACCGAGTTCAGGTGCAAGAATGAGCAACTCATACAGCTATAAGAGCACCAAGGCAGGAGCTGGAATTTTCAACATTGTTGTAGCTGTGGATAGTAGAGGGGAAATGGATACAAGAAATGGCGGGAGGTGACAGTTTATAGATAGATGGGGTAAAGTTTTGTTTGCTCTTAAAGATTCTGGATGATTGCTCTGAATTAGTAAAAGGATTATTAATTTTTAATAATCCACTTTCCTTTTCATGGTTCTTGGGAAATTTGACTTTGTTTGATTGTCAACTCCTTTCTCTATACCACAAGATGATGGATCTAACATGTTCTACTTGGTTGATCAGAGTCAAAGCCTGAGCTGACAAAATAAGAATGAAGGAGATTATTTACATTCTGTGCCAGAGAAAGGTTTTCTCTTTCCTCCCCTCCCTGAACGTGAACAAGAAAGAATGTTGTGTGGTCACTACACTACCCTAGGTAGCTATCTAGAAAACCAGTTTGAGGGCAAATGTCAGAGGATGAAACAAACTTGCATTTAGAATCATTGAACCAATGAATGCACCAACTGTGGCATCAGAGTTTACAGTGAGATTTATGACAAATACAATAAGATGTCCATGTTACTTCTGTCCATATATATCGAAACTAGTACAATTTTTTTCTGTCTGTGTTGAGAAGACTGAGAATGAGCAAACTCAGACATCCAACTTTTAGAACACCTTTATCAACATGTAAACAAAGATGAAATGGTGACCAGTACTTGGATGATTTCCCTGAAGGTGAGATGAATTAGCTGGCTGCCAATGGATGACTTGTTATCTCAGAGACATAACAGTAATAGGCATCCTTAACTCCATGTGATCAAGGCTGAATTCAGTCAGGAAAACATATCAAGATTCGGTAGAAGGTACTTTCACAAAAATTAATGACTAGAGAAGTTTATAGATAAAATAAATAATAATAAGACATATGAGATGAGAAAGTAACTCAAAGAAAAGCTTTGAAAAATATCTGTTTCTGCAATAAGCGTTAAAGCATCCAGGAAGAAGGTTGCGCACTGTGAAGATTGTTGACTAAAGCTGCAACACTGAAGGAGCTGAAGCTCATCTAGACATTGGAAAAAATCAAGGCGTGAATCTATCAGGGAAGAAAAGGGGTGAAGAACAAATAAGGAAACTGACAATCTGAAAATTTAAACTGTCACTAGTGAAAGATGCTTAGGAAACACCCACAGCTAGCATCACATTCAATGGGGGAAGTCCCTCTGAGAGTAAGACCAAGACAAAGATGCTTGCTTTCACTCCTGCTATTGATATCACTCTCCAGGTTTTACCCAGAGCAAATAAACAAGAAGAAATAAAAGGTAGTTACACAGCCAAGGAAGAAGTAATTCTGTCCAATGCACAGTAACTGTGTGACTTTGTATATTAAACTAAAACATCTACCCAATTCTGTTTAGATAACAGTAAAATTGCATGATAGAAAATGAGTGTATGAAAAATTTTTATGCCTGTTATTTACTAACAATAAACCATATAAAAAGAAAGTTTAAAAAACAATTCCATTTATAATCCAAAATGTACATCACATCTGAATAGATTTAACCAAGTGTGTGAATCAATACTTTACATTGAAAATGACAATTTTTTTTATTTTTAAAAGAAGGTCTGAAAATGAAAAGGCATATTTAAGAAACGCATCTAGAATATATCCATGCTCACAAAATGTGAATTTTAACAGTGTTACAAAGACAATATTTCTCAATCAAATCCACAGCTTATGCAGTCCTTAATAAAATTTTAAGTGGCCTTTTGTTAAACATGGAAAATCTCATCCTGAAATTCATGCAGCATTGTGAGGGCTCCTGAACAGCAGCATTTGCCTGAAAAGAAAACGTTGGGTGATTCCTCCATTGCATTTTAAAACTTAGTACAAAGCTAATTATCAAGACCTTGATATTGGCATAAGGACAGACATACCAACAAATGGCATTAAAGTGAGAATTAAAAGCTGGGCGTTTGAAAGTTGATATAAAAACCTAGTGCAGTGAACATTTTCTAAAATATATGAAGGCAATCCTAATGATGTCTCGAAATAAATAGAAAGACAGACCCATCTGGACATTGCTTGTAACCAAACCAAAATTCTAGTAGCACGAATTTGAATTATATCCAATTTCTTTGTTGACCAAATGGGTCTCCTGGAAATCCCCAAACAATCCAGGAGATTGCCACGATAATAGACTGCTCTCAGAAAATAGATAGCAAAATCCCATTGCTAAAGACAACATCCACACAACACCTTGAACATGGAATTGCCAAGGAGGTGCCTACAAAGAACCTTTACTCCCAACTTCTAGGGCTCAGGACTGGGGAAGTACTCTGCAAGTTGGAAAAAGAGAAACATCAACACCAATCCAACCACAAAACCTTTGATCAACAATTATTCCTGCCTGGAAAACATACGAGGGCACTGATGGCACAAGATTTAGGAGAGTAAAAATTAGTGTCTGGTTCAACTTAAGGCCTACTCCATGAAAAGGAACCCATACCTGGCCCTGTTTGGATAATCAAGAACCAGAGACCAGATAGTCCAGAGACTTAGGATAGAAGAAAAATCTATATTTGGGGTGTTTTAATAACAAAAATGACTCCTAATGATATGCTATACTCATAGTTCAGTGCCTTATTCAGCCATCATTAGAGAAGCTTCCTTCTGCAGCAGATGGGAACAAATACAGAGACTCACAGACAGACATTATGCAAAAATAGAGAGTAAGAGGGGAGAAATGGGATGCTTCCATCAAATTCCTCCTCTCAGAGCCCAGGAAATCCTGTAAAAGAGGAGGCAGAAAGTGTAAGAATCAGAGAAGATGGAGAACACCAATCTTGTCTTTAGAGGACAAGACCCTCTAAATCAACTGAGCAATGCTCTAACAAACTCACAGAGACTGAAGCAATAAGCACAGGACCTGTGATCTGTATCAGGTCCTCTGTATCTTTATTAGAGCTTTCAGTCTGGTATTTTTATGGGACTCCTGAGTGAATGAACAAATGAGTCTCTGATTTTTGTGCCTTCTCTTGGGGCTCTTTTCCTTCTGCTGACTTGTATTGTCCAACTTTGTGCACTGTTTTTTTTTTGTTTTGTCTTATATTTTATTTTTTATATAAAATCATTGAAAACTTCAGAATAACTCAAACAATACATCTATAGTCGATTGATATTCAATAATGAATCAAGACAAATCAATGGGGAAAAGGACAGTATTCAAAGAATGGTGCTAGAATAACTGATAGCCTCATGAAACTAGACTTGTACTTATCACCGTACACAAGAACTATATCAAATGAACTGACTTAAATGTAAGAGTTACATAGCCTTGGAATTTACTATGTATTATTATCTATGACACCAAAAGTATGAACAATAAAAGAAAAAGTAAATGGAGACTTACTAAAATGTTAACAATGTTACATATCAAAAGAGATGTCAAGAAGTTGAAAACCCAGCCAGGATAATGAAAGAAAACACTTGTGAATTAAATATCTGACTGGTATATGCAAATATATAACCCAGCTTAAAAGTGGGCAAAGTACTTCAAGAGACATTTCTTCAAAGAAGATGGCCAAGAAACATATTAAAAGGTTTTCAATATCATTAATTATGAGATAAATAAGATAAAAACTACACAGAGAAATCACTATATAGTCATTTAAAAGACCATCATAAAAAAAAGAAAAGATGCAATCATGCTGTGACTAAGTTGAAACTTTTGTGTATAACTAAGAGGGATATGAAGCTTCTGTAGAGAGTAGTTTTCTATTCCTCACATAGGATTCCAGGTCGTAACATTTTCATTCCTTGAAATGGACCCCCATAGTATTAAAAACAAATGCTGAATACTCATTCACACATCACTGTTCATAGCAGCACAGTTCACAAGAAATAGAAGATGAAAACAAACTGAATTATGTGTGGAATAAACAAATTCAATATAACCATATAAGGGGTTATTATTCTGTCACAATAAGAAATAAGCATTGATTCATGCCTTGATATGAATGGTTATGGAAGATAAATAAAACAGTGCAGGCACAAATGGTTGCCAGAATGGATAAATCTGTATGACATACAAAGCAGACTGATGGTGCAAAGGCTGACAGAATAATAGGAAGGGTAGTGATTACTTAACTTAAAAAGTTTTCTTAAGGGGTGATAAAAAGTGTTTCAGCGTGGATAATAGGTGGTTACTGAGGCTGGAGAAAGGGCTCAAGATGAAGATCTATGGCTGCTCTTCCAGAGGACCCAGTTTTAATTCCCAGAACCAAGAGGGAAACCCACAGCCATTTGTAACTCCAGTTCCAGGGGATCTGACATCATCTTCTGGCCTCTGTAGGCACTGGACACATGTAGTACATAAAAATAGATGGAAATACTCAGACAAACAAATAAATAAAATCACCCAAAAGAGAAATGGTTATCAAAGGTCCCTACAAATCTACTAAAGACAACTTAAACAGACACATATAACAATTACTTTTTTATTTATTTTACTATCATAAAACAAATACTGCTACAATCAAGATTGACACTATACTCTGTACTCCCAATTGCAGAACTCAGTACAGTTTGCTGTTCATCATATATTATTACTTGACCCCCCAACTACCTACCCTATTCTAATTGGGTCCACATTAAGCTAGGACATTGTAAGAACATAGTACAGTGACATGCTATAACACAACACTTGTGGCAACAGTTATAAATATATAGTAAAAAAAATGATCAGAGGCAGGAGAGATGGTTCAGCAGTTAAGAGCACCAGTAGTCCTCCCAGAGGACCTGAGTTCAAGCCCCAACACCTACATGGTTGCTCAAACCGTCTGTAGCTTCAGTTCCAGGCTATCTGACATCCTTATACATCTATACATGCAGGCAAAGCACCAATGCACATGAAATAAAAATAAATAAATTGTTAAAAGATCATAATCCAGGTTTTCAAATAAGAGTTTGAGAGATTAAAACATAAATTTTTCTAAATGAGTGTGGTGTATGTGTGCATGTGTGTGTGTTCAGGAAAAGAAAGGGGTCAGGATTTTGTAACGTGGTATGATGTAGAAAAACAAATCAGAGTAACAGTGTATTCCTACAGATTTAAATGGAATTAGGTGTGATTTGACTTCATGTTCAGTGAATCACAAATAGAACAGAAAGAAATCTCCTCTCTAGGAGTAATAGACTAGGTTTATGGGAGCGGCCTTGATATCAACTAATAGATAGCAATGTGTGGTTCATTTCCAAGTTATCTAATTTCAGCTCATCAGACATGAGAGCTCAGATGCGCTCACATTTAGAAATCTGAGCACCTAGAGGTCAGATTCATTTACAAAGGTACCAGTAGACTTGCAGTTGAAGATAAAAGTTTGGCTGTTACCACTTTGCTGAGGACAAGCCCTATTTATCAACATCTTACTAAAGACAAATAGAGATTGCAGCTGAGCTATTTATGTGAGGTTGGCAGTCATTTTTTTTTTGCATGATTTATGAAGAGGTTTTGGCTTGAGAAGTTTTTTTCTAATAGAGCTGTCTGTGCAAAGGAGCTTTGTCCTGGATAAAGCCATTAATCAACATATTCCTAGGTTTTTCCACTGTTTAAAACATCACAGCAATGCACATGAACAGGGGTCTGTCCCCAGAGCTTTCTTGTATGGTTCTGGGGAGCATTTTCAGATGCGTTCTTTCTAGCCCCTCTCCATTTCTTTGACTTTATTGCATCTGAAATCTGTGATACATTGTGATTTTAAGTGTCTCTACTACTTCTTAAGATTGGGAGGATTCTCCAATGACCAATGGCACCTTTCCCTCCCAAACTCACCCTGGAACACCCCTGTGATAGCTCTCATACTCAAATCACGGGAAAGCCGAGGAGAGTAATGCAACTCCGAAAACTCATGACGTCTATTGGAGAGATTACAGGTATGAAATCTTGTTTCAGTTCTTGTTCTTAAAAGCAGAGGATGCCTACTTGCTAGGATACCATAGCCTAGCTGCTCCGGGCCTTACATCTCCAGGCAGATTCCAAAGAAACACTACGGTCTTGATTTCTAATTAAGCCCCAGTGAACATCCTCTAGAGAGTCTTCATCAATTTGGACATTGTAGTCTCATCTGCACCATGGCTCTCTTAAAATCTTAGTAGCTGTAATCCTGCTCCTATAATTAAACTGTCACTAAGTGACTATCACCCCACCCCATTCAAGTCAGAAACCTTTGTTTGCATTCAGCAGTGATCTTCTGAGACAGAGTTACACACTGTGGCCCGTGAGGAGAGTCCAGTCCACTGCTTGGTTTCTATAAAAGTTAGCTGGATCACAGTCCTTCTCATCTGTTTAGTTGTTGTCTGGCTATCTTTGAACTACAGTCTTCCACAGGAAAAGTTTGATAACCTTTTCATAGCATGAAAAACGATGCCCATCGCTGAAATCACAGGTTTACAGAGCACTGACATTCAAGCAACAACAGCTGTTTTCTGTAGAACTCCTGCCCTATATTATCTACTTGTACCACAAGCTTTTGTTTTAAGTAGCAGCTCAGTCACACCCGGTGTTTTATTGGCATATATTAATCGTATTACTAGGTTACATAGAACATTTTTCATACAAGTGTGTTTTTGCATTTTCACCACATTCCATCACCTCCCTCCCAGGCCTCCTTTCTTTCCCCTCCCCTTTCCAGTAAACCCCTTAGCTCCATAGACAGTATTGCTTGTAATTTTACATCACTCACAGATATGAGTTTATAGCACTACATAAAACTTGAGTTCAATCTTTCTAAGAAGGCTACTCACCTTGATGCAAATTAATGCTCTCTGGCTGTAACTCTTGTTCCAACTACTATGTGGTATTGTTTAGGGCTTCCTAGCCACTGGCCAGCACAGGGAACTTGCTTCTTTCTGGAAGCGGGCTCTTCCCTGCTGTTGGGTTTTTCTTTCCACCACAGCCTCTCCAAGTAGCCACTGATACAAAGCACAAGTCCATAGAACAGGTTTCATTGAAGTCAAGAAATCTTCTGCAGCTAGCAGCAACTTTACTGTTTCATACTCATAAAAAAAACTCAGAGAGACTTCAGAGCCTCTATGCACTTTCCAAACTCCATTCTAACCCCAAACTGAAACTAAATGTAATTTTTAAACTTGAAGCTCATTTCATTCTTTTCATTTCCCCATTTCTTCCTGCCAATCAGAGAACTGTACCTTCAGTAGTATCTATGATTCAGGAAGCTTTGCTATCTCAGATCTTATCTGTCACACACACACACACACACACACACACACACACACACACACCTCTTCTTTGCCATATATTCAGTGATATACACACACCCCAATGAACTCAGAGTTCTGTGGAGATGGCTCAATTGGTAAAGGACTTGCTCCACAAGCATGAGGACCTGCACTAAAGTGAACAGTAGGGTGCAAAAAATAGACACCTGTAATTGTAGTACCAGGGAAGCAGAGACAAGAATTTCTCTGGGCCTTTCTGGCCAGTCAAAAAGTAAAGTGGAAAGTGATAGAAGAAGACATCTGATATCAATCTTTAGCCTGAACACACACATAAAGGAGTGCAAATTAATGCCACCTATTTATTTGGCAACATCTTTTTGTTATTGCTAAATTTCTTAATTAAAATATAATTACATCATTCCTTCCTTCCCTGTCTTCCTACTTCCAACCTCTCCCATGCACCCTCACTCCCTCTCAAATTGATGGCCTCTTTTATTATTTTTACATATAAATATATAAATGAATCAATTTACAGTTGTTACTTGTAGGTATATAACTTCATGGTTGATAACTTTGTATTGTATAATAAATTAGAGGAGATCAATCCCTGGAGAATATAATTTTCCCTCTCTAAAAACTAGTAAGTGGCCTGCTGTTTTTCGTTAGAGGTGGGACCCCATGAGATTTCCCCCTTTCATGTTAGCAAGTCTAATGGTATTATCATTATTCAGGTCTTGTTTAGACAGCATGTTGTTGGGATATCATGGGTATAACTTCCCTATCAAGTCAGGGAAACACAATCTCAGGGCAGACTTCCTGATCTTCTGGTTCTTAAAACCTTTCCACTCTCTCTCCCATTATGTTCCCTAAGTCTTATGTGAAGACGTTGTGCTGTAGATATATCAGCTGGGGTATGATGGTATCCATAGCTTTTCTTCTCCTGTGGAAACAAGTGTAAAACCCCTTCCCCAAAGTAGCACATCTTCTGGTTTCCATTCTGAGGTCATCCCATCCTTGACTTACACTGGCTGATTTAATTCAGAAGTTTTTCTATAATCCAATATCTCTCTGCGGCCATCATTCATTATTCATTAGCGTTAAGAAAATTTAAGGTTAATAAAGCATTATGCAATCTATTTCTGGGGGTATTTTCCATGCATTTCTGTTTGTTTAACATATCATTTATATTTCAGTCTGATCTTTCTATAAGTGCCTGACCTGTAGGATTGTTTAGTATATCTGTAATATGTTTTGCATTATAATAAACAAAAAACTGTTCCATTTTCTTGGAGACATATGCTGGACCATTACCTCTCTGCATTTGTGAGGTATACCCATGATGGCTATAACTTCTAATAAATGCATGGTTACTGAATCGGCCTTTTCTGAGCTCAAGGCAGGTACCCATTGAAAATCTGAGTAAGTGTCAATGGTGTGGTGTACATATTTTAATTTTCCAAATTCTGTAAAGTGGAACACATCCCTTTGCCAGATTTCATTCCTTTGATTATCCTTTGGGTTATTCCCTGAAGGTAGTGGTATTTGGTTATAGAAAGAGCAAGTAGAACATCTCTTTATAATTTCCTTAGCTTGTTACCATGCAATAGAAAACTCTTCCTTTAAACCTCTGCTACTGACATGATGATTTTTAAATGAAATTTGGTGCAGGAGAATTGTCTGTATTCTGTCAATGATGTTTTAAATAAACACTGATTGGCCAGGCAGGAGGTGTAGGTGGGAAAACCAGACAGGAAGTGGAAATGATGCAAGGAGAGCAAGAGAATTCTGGGAAGGAGGAAGTTGATTCCTCCCACTCCTGCCCAGATCACCGAAGCCGCAGGATGTGAGCTGCCCCACTGAAAAAGGTACTGAGCCACATGGCTAACATAGATCAGAAAAATGGGTTAATCAAGACATGAGCATTAGCTAATAAGTAGCCTGACCTAATGGGCCAATCAGCTTTATAACTTAAAGAAGTCTCTGTGTTATTTTCTTTGGGGCTAAACAGGCTGGGGGAACAGGGCAGGACAGAAATCCGAACAAGCCAGCCCCATCATGTTACAGAAATTCTGAGGCCTTCAGTATGTTTCCAATCAATAATCAATCAATTTTAGCAAGACCTTGTGCTAGAGGACCTGGCAGACCCATATGGGATCAAATATATGTTATGATATGGGACAAAGTCTATTTCTGTTTATGTCTTGAATCTGTATGAATAATGAAGTCAATTCTGTATCATCTGGTATAAATTAAGTGGCTTTCAATATGTATGACTACTCTTTCTGCATATTGCAAATCAGTAATAATATTGAAAGATTCTTTAAAATTCCTTAGTATCATGAGAATAGCAAATAATTCTGCCTTTTGGAAAGAATTATAAGGTCTTTGTTCCACCTTACCTAAACCGTCTGATTTATAACCAGCATTTTTTTATTAATTTGCACCAGTATAAAATATACAGGCTTCAGTTATTGGTGTGTCACATAAAATGCAGGGAAGAATCCAAGTAGTTCTCTTTATAAGGTTAGAGACATATGCTGGACCATTAGAGATTAATTGCTATTAATCTCTCCTAAAAAATTAGTACAACATATTTGCCAGGGTTCATTGTATTCCCATAATTTTTTAATTATATGAGTAGTAAAAGGCACTATAATCTCTGTTTGGTCTATTCCTGCTAGTTGACAAAGTTTCAACTTTCTTTTATAATTAATTCAGAGACTTTCCATATAAGTTTTTAATTTTTTATTTGGTTTATGTGGTTAAAAAAAAGATTTATTCTAAGATAATCTCTTCCCTCTGCATTAAAAATCCTTTGGGGGAAATTTTAGAAGGCAAAATGACAAGGATGCAATTAAGATTTGGATCCACCCAATCAATGTGTACCTCCTGTAATTTCTCTTTATCCACAGTTAATTCTTTATCAGCTTCAGTTGTTAATTCCCTGAAACTATTTAAGTCTTTGTCACCATCTAAGGTTTTGTTTAAATGAATTATTCAATCAGACATTATCCCAACAGCTGATCATAGACTGAAAATGTCTCCTAACAATCTTTGAAAGTCATTGAGAATCTACAATTGCTCTCTCCTAATTTACTCCTTTTGTGTTTTAACTTTCTGTAAACCTATTTTATAACCTAGGTAATTGACAGAATCTTCTATTTGTATTTTTTTCAAGAGCAATTTGTAATCCCCATTCAGGCAAAATTTTCTTTACTTCCTCAAATATTTCTTCAAAAGTATCTACATTTGAATCAGATACCAAAATGTCAATCATGTAATGGTAAATTATAGATTTAGGAAACTGTTTACGTATTATTTCCAATGGCTCACTTACAAAGTATTGTCACACAGTTGGGCTATTGTCAGAGGACAAATGGTCCATTCATATCTCCTAGTAGGCTAGGAATTATTATAAGTAAGGCACTGTGAAGGCAATTTTTTTTCTATGCTTTTCCTGTAAAGGTATAGTAAAGAAACAATCTTTTCAATCAATAACTACAAAAGGTCATGCTTTAGGTAATAAGGAAGGCAAAGAACTTCCAGAATGTAAAGGGCCGATAGGTTGAACTACCTTGTTCACTGCTCTTAGATCTATCACCATTCTCTATTTTCAAGCTTTGTTTTTAACAACAAATATGGGAGAATTCCAAGAACTGGTTGATGCTTCAATATGATTAGCATCTAGTTGCTCCTACACAAGCTATTCTGAAGCCTGCAGTTTCTCTTCTGTCGAAGGTCATTGTTTAACCCATATTGGTTTCTCTGCTAACATTTTAAAGATAGGGCTGTTGGTACCTCTGAAGGTTTGCTATTTGTTTTGTGTTCTTGTACAGCCTGAATGACTGGTAACCTTTGTTTATAGTACTTATAATATCCTTAGGACTGCAGGAATGTTAATCTGGGCATTCCTTTGCCACAGCTGGTCATGACTCCATAAATTCACTGTGATATTAGCCATATATGGCCTCAGCTTTCCTCTTTGTCCTTCTGGCCCTATACATTCAACGCATCTCATTCTTTGTTTCACTTGAGATAGGGACCCAATTCCTAGGAATGCAACATCTGCCTCTTGAAGAGACCAATTTGGATGACAAGATATGCATGTCTGCACCCATGTCTATCAATCCCACAATTACAATGCCATTTATATACACATTTAGCTTTGATCATTTATAGAAGTCTGCCAAAATATACGTGTCCTATTTCCTAATGGAATTTTTGATTCATTCTCCATGTTTATTCTATCATCTAGAACAGTATGGTTTTTTTACAGAAGGTACTAGATTTTTAAATTTTCCTGGTGAGACATGCTCTCCACAGTGACTGGGAGTGACTGGACCACATTTAACTTGGGGGCCTGCAAGAGGCTTCCCAAGGAGTTTTCTAATGGTATCAGGTTGCCTTGTTTATCTTTTGTTGACCTACATTGATTGGTCCAATGTCAGCCTATGCCACATCTTCTACATAATCCAGAAGATTGACACCTTTTAGTTTTTGCCATTCCCAGAGGAAACATCATTTCTAGGCATTCCTTGCCTACAATCCCTTCTCAAATGTCCTATTCTGTTGTAATGAGGCTACTTGTTTATTTCCTGGCTGTCCAGACTCCAGAAATAATCACATAGAAACTATATTATTTAAAACACTGCTTGGCCCATTAGCTGTAGCTTTTTATTCGTTAACACTTATATCTTAATGTAACCCATCTCCATTAATCTTTGTACCAGCTAAAGTTCTGGCATCTGTCTCCTGCAGGACTACATGGCTTCTCCTGTCTCTGACTCCTTTCTCCCAGCATTGTTTAGTTTTCCTCACCTATCTACCCTATCCTGCCAAAGCAGGTTTTTTTGTTAACCAATGGTATTTACAGCATATAGAGGGGAATCCCACATCACCTCCCCTTCTCTGTTTAAATATAAGAGGAAGGTTTTAACTTTAACATAAAAAAATCACATATAACAAAGCAGGTATCAAGCAAGAATTACAGTTAAAATATTTATATCTATTTTATCTTTTATCATAACTAAGGAAACCTATATTATTACTATTTATTCTTCAATTCCATTCAAGACTCAAGAGGGATACAATGCTCCCTAAGTAAACAGGAGTTACAATGTAAGCAACTTACAAAACTCTGGAATTGAAAGAGACATCTCATTGCCTGAAGAGTCACCCAAAGTTCTTCTGTACCATTGGGGCATCCATCTTCAGCCTACAGGCCCATAGCATTTGGCAGACTTTTCCATGCAGCAGGAAATTTCAAAGACATTTCTGCCTATATTAGCAGTGTGTCAGTCACATTTTTCTGTGTCCTGCAGAATGTTTAGCAGACTTGTTTATGAAGCAAGAACCCTGAAGAATGGCCTCACCTTTAGGCAAGTTCAGCAGTCATTTCTCTGTGGGTCCTGTATGTCCAGTTCATCAAGCAGTTCAGGCAAGAGCAGTTTCTTGTCCAAATTGCTAACCAACACCATAAAGACCCTCTTCAATGCCGTCTTCCTCTTGAAGTAATTAATGCTGCCAGGAGCAGAGGTGTCTCATGAAAAGTTTTGAGTTAATAATTTAGACATTTTAAGTGTCATATTCTGAAGGTCTCTGAAAGATTTGAAGAATACCTATCCATCTGAAATATATCTCTGACCATCTAACTAATATGACTACATATTACATATTCTACATATATAGAAAATCTAACTAATATGACTACAAGCTTGACTACTATAGATTATTATCTATTAACTATTAACAATCTATAATCTATTAAATGGGCTGCACAAACACAATACCTTAATCAAGAGCAGAAATATACATATAACAATATTGATCTTAAATTTGTATCAATAAACCAAGATCCATACCAATGAAAATCTCTATAGTATTTTCCCTTTAAATGTAAAGAAATATTTATAAACAATATTTGGGAATATGGGCATAGTTCTCTCCAAACTGCTTCCTGCTTTTTGTTGGGCAAAGTAATTTTTTGAAGGGTATCACAACAACCTTTCAGGAGGTCTTTATCCTTTAAAGCATGTTAGCCTTGAATGATTCCACAGGTTTTCACCCTCTCTGGAAAAGAAAAAAAAGCTCTTTTCCAAAGCAACATATCCTTTGACTCTAATTTTGGAATCAAAATATCTTTATGTCAGTTTAACTTAGAAGTCCATACAATGAAATGTCTCTCTGTACTTAGCTCCTTCATACTCAAAAAATTCAAAGAAAACACAATAATATACATAATCCAGAGTCTCTGTATATATTCCATATTTACATGGCTTATTATTTTTACTCTATTACTTTTTAATATTTATTATCTTTACTTCTTTAATCTATTATTTTCTATACTCTGTCTATTTAAACACTGTGTTTTATTTTTTATAAACCAATTACTTTCTTTTATAACTGTGTATACTTTTTTATTTTTCTCTCCCAAGGCTACAAAAATTTATTCAACACTGTGACCCATTTAGAGGTCTTTTCCATCTGGATTTATTACAGATCTGTAACTATTTTCTGATCAGAATCACTTCTTAAAATGCTAAGCACTTGTTAAGAGTCTAAGTTGTAGCATTGCTAAGGTATATATAGCACAGCCTGCTTGCCCCTCCCAGTCCAACACTGCTGAAGAGGTCTGTTCACTGACTCTGAGTTGCACACACCACCCTAGTTCCAAGTATGCAGCTGATCTATTTAAGCCATTAAGCAATCTGTAACAGGCTGCTTACAAACCCCATTTAAACGCTCAGCCTCCTGAAAGAACCAGAGGTCATGGTGGCAGCATGGCCCAGAAAGCTGACATTTCAAAGTTGCGCAATTTTTTTTCCTGCTATCACTGAATCAGGAAAACCTCTCTTAAAGGAGTTGCAGCACACTGCCAGCAAACAACAAGAAGTTGTGTTAAATCTATCTTTTCAAGATTTCTGAGGCTTTTTCATTTGTCCTATAGGCAACATAGCTTGGAAATTTGCTGTTAATAATTGACATTGTTTGTCCTTTGTCCTTCAGTTTATCTCTCAACTTCTTAAAGTATTAGCACAGTTATTAAAAATGAGGAAACTATGGGTTTCTATATTTCTACTTCATTTCTTGTTCCTAGACTGTTTCCATTAAATCCTGATATCATCTATTTAATACTATTTCTCAAAGACTCTTGCACCTAAACTCATTCGTTCCAAAATAATTATGCAAATATGCAATATTAAACTTCATGACCTACTGCTACTCATTCAGGCCAGCAATGGCTAGTATAGTGAAAGCAAAGAGAGCACTTAGCACATGCTCCTAGGGTCATGTGCAGAAGAATCATGCAGTGAACTGCCCACAGGTCTTTGCAAAGTGGGTCAGAGTCTCCAGGGTCTTGTCACAAGGAGAGCCATTCATGCTATTCTTAGATATTGTTCCCCCAAAGAAATCACATGGCTCCTTCCAGGTTTAGGAACACCATAGGATAACAATTTTATTTGTTGTTGTGATTACTAGATTATGAAGTCTCCTTGTTGGTCAAGTCAACTTGAAGGATGTGACTGATGCCTGAGGACTTGAAGGCATGGAAATGCTAGGAAAATAAGACTGCATTTGGCAAATGAAAAATAGTTATAAGGCCAAACTTATAAGGCCTTGTACATTATTTTTGCATCTTGATACAGGATAGCCTTTATCTGTTAGACTAGACTATCTTTATGTCTGAAAGCATGTAAGAGGAAATTACACAAATGTTCAGAGTACTTTCTCTGGTCCAATGTAGTTTTCTAAAACACCTACCTATTTCCATCATCTCTTGCAATGCCTCAGTGTCCTAGGAAAGACAAGCTTTACTGTCAAGACCTGTTATAAGTGAGCCACTTTTCCCAAGTGAGCCATTTTTCCAGCTTTGTATCTCACAAGTATTCTGATAACTTCAAGCTTCCATTCAGACATAACTAATGTTTTACATTTTGAAGACTAGGGTCAAGTAGAGTACAGTATATGCATACAAAGGTCCCTTTCCTAGATTTCTCTTACTGCTCTTCCATCAAACATGTCTCAGCTCAGATATCTTTCATAAAATTCTGTCTTGATTGGAGAGGGTCTCCAAAGTCAGACTTAGGTATCCCTCCTGTGATCTAGCAACCTCAGGATGTATTTACTAAAGCACATATCATATTTTTCTTGAGTGCTTTTCTTATTATAGCCTGATAAATGCTTTCAAAGTGGGTTTGATTGTACATGCCTATGAACTCAGCACTGGGGAAATGTAAGTGGGAGGAGCAGAAATTCAAAGTCATATAATAAGCTCAAGAGCAGTCACAAAGTACCAAAATGAATGAATGAATGAATGAGGCACGTGAAGTCTTATCCATTGTTCTTTTTTTATCACCTGGCAAATGGGTAGGGTGTAACCAACGCTTGCTAAATGAGGATGGAGTAATAACTTCTAGTTGTCAGGTTTTATAGAATATATTCCATAACTACTTCTAATTTGCATCCCATCTTCTTCCCAAAGCATAGATCTTTTTCTTCCACAACTCACCGTTTCCCCAGCGAGTAAGAAAAGAAACTCAACTAAAAATTGTAACATAAACACACTAATTTTATGTTATAAATGTTCTTGTGTTAGGCCAAATAATCCTCAAAATGATTCAATGGGCTCTGAATTAAATCCCAGACATTGACTGAAACAGTCATTGTCTACACATGAGTCAACGTGTATTTAAAATCATAGTCAACTATAATAAAAAAATTATAACTTACTATCTATAGGATCAAGGATGGAAAGTTTGTTTTTTCTACTCCCTATCTCATCAAACCATATTTATACAAGTAAGTTTTAACAAATAACTATATCATTTGTACTCATTTCCTAGCTCTGTGTTCACATGCAAACACATACTAACCACCACCACCACCATTCTTGTCTCAGTTAAGGTTTCTAATGCTGCAACCAAACACCATGACCATAAAGCAAGTTGTGGGCAGGTACTCAAAATAGGGCAGAATCCTAGTGTCAGGAACTGATGCACAGAAAATGAAATGGAGAGGTGTCGCTTATTGGCTTTCTCAGCCTGCTTTGCTATAGAACCCAGTACCACTAGCTCAGGGATGTCACCACCCACAATGGATTGGGACCTCCCACATTGATCACTAATTGAGAAAATGATTTACAGTTGGATCTTATAGAGGCATTTCTTCAACTGAGGTTCCTGCCATTCTGATGATCCTAGTTTGTGTCAAGTTGACACACAAATCCAGCCAGCACAACTGACCTCTTGTCAACTTGACAGACAGATACATCACTATTAATCCACAACCCTTCCATTCTTATTCATCCCCAGGATCTCACTTTAAAATAATAAATAATTTTCAAATTCTCACAGTCTTTATAAATTCCAACACAATAAAATTTTGGTCTCTTTAAAATAGCCAATCTCTTTTAAAAGTTCAAGTCTTTCATCTGTAGGATCCTTTAAAAATCAAAACTAAATACCCTCTTCAAGGGGATACAACCAGGGCACTGTCGCAATCTGAACCAACAAAATCAAACTCTAACCGTATAAGTAACTCAATGTTCAATTATCTGGGATTCACTCATGATCTTTTGGACGACTCCAATGACTTTAGGTCACCTCTCCAGCTCTGCAGCACACATAGCTTGTCTTCTAGGGTCTGACTGGTTCCACGCCACTACTGTTGCTGTCCTTGGTGGTCATCCCATGGCACTAGCAGCTCCAAAAATGCTGGGATCTTCGGCTGCAACTGGGCTGTACTTTCACCCATAGCCTCTCATAGGCTCTCTTCATCTTGCCGAGCTTCAACTTTTTTGCATGACCCCTTCAATTATGAACCTACAACTGCTACTAAAACTGCACCTTCACAAATGGTCTTTTCTGGCCTCCCACAGTGTCAAGCCTCAGCTGTACTTCTTCAAAACCAGCACCACGTGCATGACAAGTACACATTACCAAGTTCTGCTGCCACCATGAGGTACAACAATAACTACCTCTGGAACACAGTTTCTCGGTGCTCTCAGAAAACACTTCTCAGAAGATTTGACCTCAATGATGCTGTTCTCTTTTTAAACACCACTAATTCATTAGCTCCAGTTAAGCAGTGTCAAATATCCCAGTAACATAAAGGTTAGTTGTTCTGATATCTTGTTAATCACAGCAGATCCTTCAACCCCAGCTAAGTAGAACCAGAGAATTTTAATTCAAAATAACAAACAGTCCTGGTATAGCGTTTAATATTTCTTCTGAAATTTCACAAGTCAAGACTCCATTTTCTGCACTGCTCTCAACCTTCTTATCTTCCACGTTCCCATAGAGTATCCCACAGAGCTCTTACCACTCAATGGCTCTTCCAGCCCAAAGTTACAAAATCCTTCACAATCTTCCCAAAAATATGGTCAGGTCTGCCACATCATTACCCCACTCCCAGAACTAAATTGTCTTAATTGGGGTTTCTATTGCTGTAACAAAACACCATGACCATAAGGCAAGTTGGGGAGGAAAGGGTTTATTCAGTTTACACTTCAACATTGCTGTTCACCACTGAAGGAAGTTAGGGCAGGAACTCAAACAGGGCAAGATCCTAGAGACAGAAGCTGATGATGGTGGAGGGCTGCTTCTTTCTTTCCCTGACTTGTTCAGCCTGCTTTCTTATAGAATCCAGTACCAACTGCCCAGGGATAGCACGACTCACAATGGTCTGGGATCTCCCCCATTGATCACTAATTGATAAAATGCCTTATAGCTGGGTCTTATTGAGGCATTTCCTCAGCTGAGATTCCTTCCTCTCTGATGACTCTAGCTCATGTCAAGTTGACACACAAAACTAGCCAGTTACAACCCTCATGATGATCATATCCTATAACAAGGTTATTGATATTATTACTGTAGAGAGAATCAAGACAGCTACTTTTT